AAGGGTCTTTTCTTATATCACAGCGTTATACAACAAAAAACCCTCTCTACGTATATAAGCTCGAGGCTTTATTTAAAGATGCCTATTTTTATGGCATAAACATGCCACAGCAAGTTGCATCAAATGACGTTTGAACGAACTTTCTAACTCTCATAGTTTCTGAGATGTTGAAAAAACATGTGCCAAAATATATTACAACGTAACCCATGGGCAAGATGATATATATATATATATGCGTACATGTAATAAACATGAATAAACGCTTTTCGAAGACATACAAGCATTTATAAAGACTATTTTACTTTTTTTTAAATATATTTTACCTAGAATAGCCATTTATTCTCATTTAGTCTATTTGATAGCGTGAAAAGGAGTCGTATTTAAATAGATGCCTCTGTAAAACATTCGAAAAATAGGACGAATCCAAGTTCATCCGTTCGTTAAGCTTTACAATTCCCACTAGGCAATGCCAAACTCTTCATAATTGACAACAATAATCTTTGTAATTTACTAATAAATATTAAAAGTAAATAATAGAACAACGGATCGATGAAGCTATTTATTCAAGTTCCACTATTATACAATGAAAGGCAAAAAATACGCGATGTGTACATCAAAATAAGATATAGACTAAGTAGTTGATTCACGAGTAATAAATCGTCGCCAACCATTAATTGACTCTCGAAATTGTTTCTTGTCTAACGTTGATGGAAGAAACAAATATGGCAAAGATAAAACTAGATGGAATAAACGAAATGAAATAGCCTAACAAATCCAATCAAGGACTACTAGATATTTTCACACATCCCGAAAATAATGAAATTAAAAGTCGAGGAAATAATAGAATGACTTGCACAATGGGACTGACAACAAGTTGTTGTTCATAAGTATGTTTAATTCGAGTTATTGGTCGGTGACGTGCAATAGTGAATACAATAAAAATTGCAGAAAATAGATTAATGAAAAATGGAACAATAAAATGAAAAAGTTGAATTGCTGAACTATATTTTTCAATCGATCGAGAATAACGAAATATACGTCAAATACGTTGTTCTTCGTAATCATCGAACAATCCATGATATATGAACTCGTCACTCAATGTACTAAGAATGGCGAATGGTAAAAGTCGAACTGTCCATCGTGCAATAGATTTGCTTCGTTTCTTATTAAAATTAACTCCTTTAACAACTGTCGAATATCGTATTAGATTTTCTGAGTTTGTAGACTTTTCGAACGGCATCTTCAAAATTATATTGAAAAATAGCATTAAAACATGTACACAGGTTGATATCTGTACAGCCATTTTTTGTGGCCAATGTTTTTATTTGAATATTTTGATATCAGATTTTAGCAGTTGAAAATGTTATCGGACCATGCGAAAACTAGAGTGGCGGACTATTGGCATGGGTAATTTTTTCAATGGGCAACTCAAATAATAACTCATTAAATACATACACAATGGCGATGTGACCTATATGAATTCGTATTAATCAATATTTCTCTTGTATGTTCGTATACCAATTTGTAGCTCTTGAAATTCTCTATCGAACCATGCTAATATTAGCTCGACTAGCTACCTCTTGGTATGATAAAAGTTTTGATTACCAATAGCAGTTAGATTCAATGTACATGCAACATTCAGGGACTGATTCCGCCAGGTTTGTTGCTGCAAAATGAGCGTTTTAAGGAATAAATATACTAGAAACGATGCTCTGACACTGTGTAGGGAGGTGAGATCACATTTCATGAGGGGGCCGATTTTACTTCAAAACGTCCCCCCTACTTTTACTAGTTATTTGACAATCTCATCCATTGTTCAATATTTGCCTATATTATGATAGAATCATATTTTTCATTAATAAATGGCATGGAGTCCTTTTTCAAAAATTCATTGAATTTCGTTTATAAGAGCAATAGTTCGGATACATGTATATGGTAAATCATGAACACAGGAAAATTAACATAAAGAAAGAAAAAACGAAAGAGAAATAACATATGTCAGTATATCAAAGCGTCACCTAAGACAAGACAAATGAAAACTTCTTTCATAAAGATTGCACAAGAGAATTACTTCGATTTTTTTCATTAAAAATATAATTTTTCATGTCAATAATTTCTTTTAACAATTCTTTTTCTTAAATCCTCTTTTGAATCAATCAATCGATATTTCAATATTTTCAAAAAGACTGTTAAAATAAATATCATACTTGAAGAAGTTTCATCCGATCCCATCCCGCACAGAGTTCTTAATCATATGTGAACAAATAGGAAAGAAAATGAAAAAACGAGAACGAAACAAGAACAAAAAGGAGTTACTGTTTTTCATTGGAACCCTTGAAGTTTATTGATCTTCCGTCATTTTCTTAATGTCCCTAAGCATAAATTCATAGTCGACAGCGTCATCATCTATTTCTGTTTCTTGCTTATCACTATCCCCACTTTTTTTTCTTATTTTTAGTTCCAATAGTTTTAATTCATTTGTAAAAAATATGTATAATTGATTCGTAACAGAATTTTTTATCGTATCTTCCTCATTCTTTCTGAACATCCATTTTGGATAAATTTTTCCATAGGTTGTTGGAGAACCGACATAAAAATTTCGCTTGAATTTATTATTTAATTGTTCAATATATAATGAACATGGATAACATGGTAATTTTGATATTCCAATTTCAACATCTTTATCATGAACTTCATGTATATTTTGTTCGATTAAATAATCTATCATTCGAATTTCACTGCGTAAACATGTTTTTAATTCTGAATTTTTATCATATGAATCAAATTTATCTTGAATATAATCCTTTTTGAAATCAATTTTTATTTCATTATCCTCTAAACCACACGCTAACCAGATTTTATCAAATGAAAATGATGGTGTTTCATTTAATTTAACAATGTTTTCAATTGGTTCAATAAAAGACCATTGAATATTTTTATATATTTCACCATATTCAGATTTTCGTTGTTCTAAAATTTTCAGTATTAAGTGAAGTGATCGTTGGTGTGCCGATACTTTGTCTAAATAATATAAAATACGTTCATAATCATCCACGATTGAATATACTTTTGATAGTACAGAACGGAATATTTCAGAATGATATAATAATGCACCTGTTGCTTGAAATTGTAAAATGGTTTTTAGTTCAAGTTTATCTTTCGTGCTTCGAATTGAATCTCGATATGAAATAATGTCATTGACCCAATCGAATAATATTAAAATATATTCTTTTAAAGATATTTTTTTCTCTTTTAGATAATAATAATCGGCCGAACCTCGATTTAATTTATTAAAATTAATTTTTTGACATAAATTATCAACATTAGCATTTGGTAATTTTTCAAGATTTGAAACAGCATCATCAAACAAATGATCGAGTATACGTTTGATACATTTATCCTTGTTATATTCAAATATAAGAGATTTTAATGATGAATATATTTTGTCCATGCCGTTTTGATTTGATGGTAAACAATGTTCTGAATATTCTTGTATTAAACGAAAAAATTCATTAAAATAGATTTTATCATCATTTTTTAATGATTCATTACGTGTTATTAAAATTTTTTTTCTTTCAAGAATGGATACACTACTGTACATTGATTCGAATCATTAAGTAACAAAGCAAGACCATCCAAAAACCTATGCCGTCGACTCTTTGTAATATTTGGCCGTTTGTCAGTTTTAAAAGGAAATATAGATGATATAATCAAATTATTATAAAATTCTGATGTAGTCATCTAAGAATAAAAGAGAATTCATCAAAAATTTTTAATATAATATTGTAATGATAATTTGTCTTTTAAGAAATTATTACAATATGTTTTTTCTTATTTTAAATGATCAGATTCCTTCAAAATTTATTTGTGACTGAGATTGATGATGGAACCAATTAAATATATGATAGTGATCATTCTAATATATTCTACATATTGTCGATGAGTCGTTTTCAGTAGAATACAATGCAGTTCAAATGAGTCGTATCTTTAAGAAGAAGAAAGACAAAAAAAGCTCATTGGTTTATCTCTGTCAGTGAATATGTATAATTCAAAAGTGAAAGATGGCGCAATGGTCTATATTTTTGATCATCGTTATTTAAAAGAGACACAAGAGATTGATTTGTGCAAAACAATAACTTTTAGTTACCATCGTCTTTCATTAAAGTATGTATCGATATGACACTTCCTTTTCAATTCTATTATTCATGCGTTTTTCGACATCACATATATGTTGAGTTGAGTACAAGATTTCCTTGAAGACTGTCTTACTGATTTCATTATCCCAGGAGATTATCGATCAGTCGGTTCTTGTCTGGCGGGTTATAATTCCGATGTAGCATGACGATCGGATTCGGTCGGTTAATTTCTGGTGAATTTCGATGATTTTCTTTGTTTTCTTATCAAATATGGTTACCGGATTCTCCGAGAACCGGTCAGATTTACATTGCCGGAAAATATCAGGTAAGATGATACGATTGGGCCGTACACAACATGATCCGGTAACAAAACTTTACCGGAATCCGCTGTGCCGCATGACGCTCGATTTCATGCCAGATCCGGCTTAGTCAGTCTCACCGGAACCAATAGGATCATATCAGAACTGAACGGTCCTACTCACCGGATTAAGCCACTTACTACAACACAGATCTGGCCGACAACATCTGCAACGAATTACCAGATGCTAAATGAAGATCGTGTGATCCATTCCGACCCTTAGTTAACAGCTCACACAACCGATGAAAAGCATGAATTAAAATTATGGTTCATCCAATAGTTTATTTATGAAAAATCAATCCACATGAGCAACATGATTTAGTATTTACTGATGCTGAGCGAAGTTATCGACCCGAATGAATCTCACTCAACTCGCTTATCATAACTCCAGCCAATATCACTTAATTCTACGATCAATTCCTGGTCTAACCCGAAATCTACAGCCATTAATGATTACTCAAGGCAAGGTAAACTTGTTATATACTCACACTATCTTGTTCATCCATGCAACTCGACAAAATTTAACACGCGTTACACACGTGTTTCCTCGGTCTGACAATACCAAAAGCATCATTTCCAATCACCAACAAACGCTTTTGCGGACCCTCGAATGTTGCATACACACAATATTAAAAATTCCATATGCCACTAAATCATTTTCGGATGTCACTCAAAATCCTGTTTGATGAAGAAAAGGTACGTTGGAGCCATCGAGAAAGATTATCCGAACGATTCTCAATGTCTTAGTGAATTTTTCGATACGTCCAGGTTGAGCTTCGGAGTGATTTTCGTCGAAGGAAATTGTGGTTGGATCCGTAGAGAAAGATGCTTAGAATCCTGTTTCACGAGGAAATGGTACGTTCGAATGAGCTAGAAAGATTATCTGATCGATCCAGTACGACTGTTACAATCTTTTGATTAGTGCAAAATGATCCGTGGAGCGATTTTCTTTGAATTGTTGGTTAACACAATGACCCGTTCTATAGGTATTGAATGTAATTAATGGATGAAAACGGAAGTGGTGATGTTCCAGAATGACATCCAGATGCATTTTGTATGAATTATCAATGATTTCGATGGGTGCAAAATGATGTCAGGGCGATGTTTTCAAGAAGTGAAATGCAAGAAGATGGCACAGTAAACGGGTTGGTATTGTGTTTAATGAATATGATGTATAGTAGGTTGGTTTCGGATTATTCTAAGTGTGGGCATTGGTGAGTCAGATGTTGTTGGTTTTGGGTTACAATTTTTTTAGGGTGATTGCTATTAGGAGAAATGTTAGTTGTGGACCCGTTTGAGTGGTGAGGGTTTGGATTATGTTGTGATTATTGATCAGGCGTAGTCATTTCGGTTGGTGTGCGTGCTTCTGAAGACTACAGTTGATTCATCTTTTGATTAAAGAACGCTTGTATGAGAGATTTTTTATGAGGTGCTTGTCATCAGAATTGGATTAAATCCGGTCAAATATGTTGTGAAGCCGTTGTGAAACCGGGATCATCCGGTCATTCGGGTGGATCGATTGCGACAATGTTCGGTTGTATTATCCGGCAGGAAACGGCCGGACCAAATCTCCTTTGAATTCCGGCGGGGTTTCCGGAAGCAGAGATTCCGGAGAAATCCCTGTCGGATCCTGGCAGATTTGAGTGGGAAACATGCCGGCTTCTGGAGTGATCCGTTGCTGGCTCCGATGGGTTACGGCAGGATCGAGTGTCTTGGGTTACTGAGTATGATATTGCAACGAAAAATATCTTTTTTAATTTTTAACACAAATTCCCAGGTCGTGGATGTACGGCGGGAAACGGCCGGAAAGCACAGGAAAGCGCTGGAAAGTGGAAGCAGTATTCCAGTTGGAAGTTACCGGATTTTCTTCCTGTAGATTCCGATCAACTTCCAGATGTAAAACACAGAAAACTGACCGGAAAACACAGGAAACTGACCGGAATCCACAGGAAAAAAATCCGGTAACTTCCAACTGGAATACTGCTTCCAGTTTCCAGTGCTTTCCCGTGCTTTCCGGCCAGATACGGTGATTTTTCCGCATCTTTCCGGCCGGTTCCTACAGTATCCGTCCTCCGGAATCATTGACCTGGGTTATTCTCATTCGAGCTTTCTATAATTCACATTTGTTATTATCAAAGAAAGACACAGTAACGTTTACATATACACCCAGGACGATGTTTCCGGCCTCCCTAAATGAGCGGATTTAATTGGAACCGGTCAGGAACATGCAGGAAACACACCGGAACGTGTAGGAAAATGCCTGATATCACTGGACCCTGGAAGCAGTATTCCCGGACGGATTTCTCCGGATTTTCCCGTTGATTTCCGACGGGAACCAACAGGAACTTGACGGAACTTACAGGGAAAATCCGGAGATTTCCAGATCCGGAATACTGCTTCCGTGAAATCACGGGAATGCGCGGGAACCGGCCGTTTCCCGGATCGGTTGCTTAGACCTGGGTATTATCGGTTACAAACGTAAAAAAAATGTTTTATTTTACAATTGTACTTCAAAACATTTCAATAAAAATGAATCTACAGCAAAGGAAAATAAATGTGATAGTCTTTCGAACCAACAATTTGTGTTCCAGTAATTAACTGTGTCACATTGGCGCAATTGCGTCGCGTTGCTTCTCTTGTAAAATCATTTGTGACTATTCTTAAGTCTTCATAGAAAATACGTAATTCAGCTAGATGAGGTAGATGGGCTTTAGATTCATTTAGAAATTGGTCGATGTCATTATTACCTACCCTTGTAAGGTCAAGTGAAGTGAGATGAGGATATTCAACGATTTCGTGTGATTGAATGTTGTCAGATGATATGTTCGCAGCAAACGACGTTGGTGAAAAATCAGAAAGACAGAAACGTTCTAACAATGGAAAAGCTTGAGCTATTCGTTGGAAGAATTCATGCTTAAATGGAACCACATCATGTACCCATAGTTCGATGACGTAATTGAATATAATATTTGGAAATATATTGCCAATAAAAATCAGCTTAGTAAACTCGAAAGGAAGGGTAAAGACATGATATGTAGCTGTGTCCACAGAGAAACAAACAATATTCGATACTTCATGATATACTGTAGTGATATAATTTTGTTCGATATGATTATTGGATAAATAACGAACTAAATCGTTTCGATCATTATAAGTACTAAGATAAAAGTTGAATGAACGAAGTCGTTGCATATCCATAGAAAATTCATTGATAAGATAAATCGGATCGATGAATACACGTTTGCAACTGACACGTAAATACAAAGTTAATTTTTCCAAATATGACATTCGGCGAACAAGAGATACAATTTTATTATCATATTCTTCAATTAAACCATAATGTATTAATGAAAAAATCTTCAGATTAGGTAAATCATTCTAGAGAACGAAAAATTAAAATAAAATGATAGCCAATACAAACTTAATTGAAAACTTTTCCTTTTTTTTCATTCAGGTACCAGTTAAAAAATGTAAGTGAAATAGTTCCTATATTTCTTATGCTACAGATTGGTTTTCTCTAGAGGTCACTCTAAACGATAGCTGTACTTATTCGAGTAGTATATTAACTAATGAATGAAGAAAAGAAATCCTTTTTTTCTACGTGTTTATCTGAATATTCAGTTCACATTCATTTGATTTCAAACAATATCATTGGTTTTATCATAAAATATACATTTAAATAAGCAACGGTGAGGAATCAGTAACTTTCATATCTGTTCATTATTATTAATATGATTTTATTATTAGAGTAATATTCAATTAGTCATCGATTGCATCGCATCAGTCAAAACAAAATAATTTTGAATCTTGTGGATGATGACTAATTCTCAAAGAAGTTTAAAGAATATGAAAGAACTTCCGCACGCTTTTTTGTGGCTTTTACGTAGATTTTCGAATACAATAATGAATAGAAGTTTTAAGTATTGGGTTTTCTGGCTCCTCACTCATTCCCATCCCAAACAAAAGCAACCAATAGATGATGGCATCATAGACACTAAAAGGCAAGATACCTCACATTGTGTGATCATGTGTGAAGATGCTGTCATATTGTGTTTGTATAAAAGCAAAACTATGCGTAAATCATTAAAATAAAACTCAGTTTTGATTAAATTCAGGCAATAGCAAAAAAAATTTCATGTATTTAAAAGCAATTTTCTTTGAGCTTCAATATCGGAAACAAACGACACAAATAAGAAAGACTGTATAACTAATGAAGTATTGTGTGATTTTTATTAGTAGACAGACAATCTTTAAAACATAAATTTGTACTTATATTTGTTTAATTTAAAATTGAAAATAGAAATAAGAAATTGTTTTATAAATTGTATTGCATATCATTTAGCTTAAGGAGTTTCACAAACATTGTAACTTATTTATAGTTTTCTCTAATTATAAAATGCTTTCACATATATGTAAGAGCTATTTCAATTAAATAGTATTTGTGAGTTGACTCCTATTGGTATCCTTTTGACTTATTAATGAAAAATTTTCATTATTAGAAAGAAAGACTTAATCTTACTACTGTTGTTTGGCTTTTAGACTTGTTAAAATACTTAGTAATGATTCATCTTTATCACTTACAGTTGTTTATAGTAAAGGCGTTTGGCTATATATTTTATAAAAAATTATATCAAAAAGAGATAAAACTTAATGCATATATGAGAGATTTGCTATTGCTATGCTGCTTATACATACCTAAAATGTTATTATGAATATAATCGCCTCATTGCATAAGTAAATGAGAATGTTAATTTTATTATAATGATTTCTCAAAGTATTATTTTTAAATGTTTATATGACTCATCACACTAGATATGATTAAAAAGACCCATTTACAATTCACGGTACATTTGACTATAATAATAAACATGAGAAATATCAAATTTAGCGCTCAAACTATTTCTTGGATTATTCTTTAAAACCTCAAAATTGATGCAAAACATTTGAATAGAATTGATCTATATTTTTTTCTATCAATCAACTACCTGGAGAAATAGATTAAGCATTTTAGTTCCGAACAAGCTACGCTAAGAAGCTTTTTCAAATGTTTTCGTAGTTCCCAAAGCGGAAAAATATCATTCACTTCTAAAGACTTGCAAGAGCCAGTTTCGATCTTTGAACCTAAACTGGTCTCACACATGTCTATTGATTTCTCACAAAAATCCATACTTTACAAACTTCCTAACTATCTTCAATTACAGGTGACATAGATGACTCATTCAAGACATTCAAAAAGATAAAATATTCTTACCAAATTGTGGTCAATTGATGAATCCGTATCCATACGATAAATTTTAACGATAAGTGTACTCAATTGTTTGAGACGACCATCAAGTAAACAAAGACAATCGGTCCAAGTTATCACATTAATACATAAATAAGTAAGCGTTGACGAAGAAAAAGTACTTGATGGTAAATAACGAAGTGACAAGCCTGGATACACAGGAATCGATCTTTCAACCACATTCAAATGTTTGAGATTTTCGAAGCAAGTTAAAATAGGTGCATACACTCTTTTTGTATACTCTTCCCATGATCCTACTGCACGCTCACGGTCTTTATTGATAAGATCAAGTTTTTTAATCTGTTGTCTGAAGATATGTCGAAGGGACGAATCATCTAAATTAAATAATAATGACACATAGCCTAATATATTCCATTCAATATCGTTGTACTATGACTTTTCACTTGATGAAATCCGGAGCATTTGCTTACCTGTGAGATAATGTAATGAACTATCGCGTTGAAAATTGAAAATTTTCAATTCAGTCAGCTTTGGATAATGAGTAGCAAGAAGAATACGTTCCATGTATGTTGGCTCAACAATAAGGCATTTCACATTGTAATGAATTCGAGGTAATATATAATTACAAAACCGATCAAGCATAGAATCAAGCACTGTAATGTCGCCAATAGTTGATGCGAAATTGAGAGTATTAGAAAAAATCTCCTCTCGTGCTATACTATCAATTCGTTCATTATTAATACCAAATAACGAATAAAGAACATCAACATTGTCAAGTTTCTTGACAATACCAAATAACATCTCATTAGGTAGATCAAGAAGGTGAACATTCGATCGATTCATGTTCAATATTGACTGTTATACTTCTGCCAATATAGGTACACGTATGGAACGATATTAAATTGGCAAAAGAAAAGAATAGCGGACGGCAGAAAAGCGAAAAATAAAATGTCAAGAATTCGCTATTTTTGTTTTCGGTCAATTTTTGATGCATACCCAATGTATGTGTAGATAAAAGTTCTTTGTCTATGCTTATGATCGTTGATATCAGTGATGAATCGAATGAATAAACTGATTGAACGAAAAGTTATGCCTATGCGTCACCTAGCGGAATCATCGATACACACTTTTTGTCAACAAATTATCATATGCATGTCATCGTCAGATTGTGTTCGTTTACGCGGATGTCGGAGAAAATGTCATGGTCAGAAAATAAAAAAATAAAAACCTGAGGAAAGTTTTTGCATTTCATTAGTAGATAGGAGTAGTTCTCATTGATATCTTGCACATTTCAATACCTAAGATAGATGCCCTCAGTTCAGCTTATGTGATTGAGAATGTTGAATAAAAACGCTGTGTTTCATATAGATTTCTAGATGCATGCTTTTCTAAAAGACGTGAATTCATTCATAATTTTATTATCTTACGGGTGTAGATGTATCTGTTCTCCATCGTTCAAATGCACATCTATTCTTTGAAGAGTAAAAATAAACAGCCCTATATGCTTTTCAATTTGTGTTTCATACCTGTAGATGATGTTTCACAAAGTTAGTTCAATCTGAAAGTTAATTATATAAGAAATTAAGATGAAGGAAAAGCCTGATAACTACAGTGGCCAGTTGATCGAATTGTGTCGATTGAGATAACTCTAGCGTGTATCTGGGATTCAAATTTAGGAATGTTTCTACATTACATAGTCTTTTAATAGAGACAGCACATTGTGTTATCTCAAATTCGATACCTCATACGAAAAAGCTTCACAAATTTTGTTAGTAAATGCTTTTCTATTTGTTATAGACATTTACAGAAGCAAAAATAAATATGTAAATTGATTCATTAAAAAAATCGTTAATTAATTTATGAGAATGAAAATGACAAGAAAAAAAGTGGAATAATTATAGTTATAACTTTCATAATCATATTTATCATATTGTTCCCGACTGTATTTATCAAATAAAATGAAATATACTTGAATGGTTTTTTTTAAAGTTGTTCAGCTTTTCGTCATTTGGATTTCTATCTGAATGAAATTCTTTTGTTATTATTAATTAAGCATCTTTGGTTTCTCTTTCCATTGCTGTTCAACTATCTGACACTAAATTATATAAATGCATTGATGCTTTTTTCTCTCTTGTTCGTAATGTTGATTCTCTTATAAGTCTTATTTGGATGTCTCAAAAGTATCAAAAGATACAGATATTGTGAAAAATATCACCTATAGACAATAGCTCAATATAAATGAAAAAATCTTTTTATATATTCTCGGTATGTCTAATTTTCTAAATAAGTTAAATTTTTTGTTCATATTTTACAAAAAAGTTAGAAAATGCAATGAAATCACCGAGATTTACTGAAATAGTTCTTTTAATATGAAAACTAGATGTTCTGTAAAAATGATTATGACTATACTTGTTTCCATTGAGGATTATTCAAGATAAATTGATTTCTCAATGAAGGGTGTTGGTGTGGGTTAAGATAGTCACAACACTCACACCCTTTTTCTTTTTTTTTATACAATTGGTAATTTATTTCCTGTCTATTCTTCCTTTTGAAATTTATGTGCATTCATTCTAATATTTTGTGCTTATGATTGTAGTGCAGAACGTTTATGAGTGTTCCTGTATTTCAATAGATAACATGAAACGCGTGGGACTAATTTGTGCATTTTCTATATTCATTAATTCAACTAAGCACAATTATTTACTATTAACTCACTTCGATTTGACGAATACCAATTGCTGAGAAGCCAGCGCTGAGATTCTGAGATTGTGTTGTATTTTTAAGATATACAGGACAGTCAGTTTTTTCTATTGATACATCAGCATCCCACCACCACCCGTCCTATTATTTCTAAAAAGTGTGCCGATATTTATGTCACCTTTCACTGATCTTTTTTTTCCCTTTTTATTATCTCTATATTGTTCTTTCCTATGTTTATCTCTCTCTCTCTCTCTATCCTATAATAGCGTGTACATAATATGCAGTAGCTAATATACATCATTACCGAATGTGACGGTAAGGTACTCCTAGCGGCGTAACCAGGTTTTCAGGCTGGGGTGGGCTCAGGTAGCGAGAGAATTTTGTTCTCTATCCATTCATGACCTTTTCAAAGTCCTTGGTTCTCTGGTTGATAAGAAAAAGGGTTCGATCCAGCACGAGATCCTAGTTTTTGGATTCATTTCGCAAAAAAATGTTTTTTCAGAGACACGCTTGTAAACCGCAACATCTATTTTCATGCCGTCCGGTGCAGAATTTAATTTTGAACTAAATGGTATACATATTAACCATTTGAGTCCGAAGGCAGTTATTGCACAAAAAAGCCGGGACTCAAAGTGTTAAAATAAGCGTGAAATATATCAAATTATTTTATTGAACAGGACATCAAACACATTTGCCTAGTTTTCAGTGAACTGCTATAATGTATGGCTGACATCTTGATATATTAGATATTACTCATCGACACGTAGGTAAAGTTAGCCCGAGATTCGAGTATTTCCAGTCGGATAGTTCCTGTTCGTTATCGTAGATGGTGCTCGAAATTTTAATATTCCAATACGATATTCGGAAGCTATAAACAGTTCGAAAAAGGAGAAAAATCTCAATGTTACATGTGATCGCGTTCATATAAAAAATAGCAACGAAAATGATGAAGAGACACTTTCAGACATTCATGACGTTCATTTGTTTTTAGAACGGGAATGAGTTGAAATGAAAAACACTATGACTTTTATCTAATGAACTTCATTTTAATATAGGTCCAAAGATTTGATTCTTTATATTGAGTTATTAATAGTAGAAAAAGCAAGTATGTGAGTCTCCTTCCTTATAGCACTGAGACCTGACAAATCCGGTTTTGTTTACTTTTAACAAGTTTATTACATTGCACGAGCAAGTAACTTGAACCCACGTTAAGTGACTGGTTTATGGCGTCATCCACGTAGTACAATTTCTAGCGACTCAACGTTGAAATTTAATACCTTTCTACTTCGAAATACTACTGAACGTAGAAAAATTCTTCCACAAATCGTGTTGTTTCTTTAGACTAGCAAACTTTAGTTTTTAGGCTGAATGATGACGAATAAGCGCAAGCCGTTTTTTTCTAAATTAGACTTAAGTCATCAGTCGAATGGTATTAATAATATTAATGTAGTCGAAAAAGACTGACTGCATATTGAAGCATAACTATAATAATGACTCAGCGACAAATGTTGTCACTATCATGTAAAACTAGAAGAAAATAGTCTATAGCCACTCAGTACACAATGTTTTGATACTGTCTTAGCGAATTATAAATGTTGCTCTGCTTTTCTTCGCTATTTTACTACATATGAAAACAAAGTTCGAAGTTTCGTAACTTCCTCTAATGATGTTGCAAAAAAACTCACGTATGCTGAAATATGTAATTATAAATGGCTTTGTTGTGTGTGTTTTGGTCGTTTGTCACTAGGGTATATAATTCTCTTTTTCAAAATCTTTTGTAAAAAGAATAACATAATGGACACGGCGACGCATACTTCTTTGATTTGCTTAAGTTTACCCACAATGGAACCTTTTGTATTGTTCATCGAGTTAATCGATCGCATTCGGATCAAATTATTACTCTCGCCGCCAAACTAACAAATTTTAAATCTTATGTGCCCATACACTCTAAAAAAAATAGGTTTTCCACCGAACCTTTTTTTAGGGTTCGGTGGAAAACCTATTTTTTTTAGAGTGTAAAGTATATCTTCGTTTCGGGTGTGGGTGTCAGTTTTCCCTATCCAAGTTTCACATCCACACCCCTTTCAAACTTTAAGCATGGATAATATTGGTGATATAAAGATAATATCACTGACTTATTCTAATTTCAATAAAAACAGATAGGTTTTCGTATAGCAGCCGCTAAACAGGTCCTCATTGTAAACTTAAATCAGTTTGCATATGATTCTGAACTACTGCACACCGAAATAACGAAAACAAGATAATCATTATTGATTAAAAACGTAAAGAAATATTAGTGAAAAATTATCTTGCTTAAAATATGTATCATACAGAACCATTTATAGAAATATTTTTCGGCATCTTATTCTTTTGCAAAGGAGTTAACAGAAAACTGATATGTTTATCCACATGAATTCGAGAAATCAATTTTTTTCAGCTACTGCCTTCTAAACCTAATATAATTACCCAATACTCTTTCCCCAATCACAATACTATTGCAACGAAGATATAGCACGCCAGACTTATGGGCACGTTTTCTCACACATACAACTTCCTTTTTGAAGTATTTATCCTCACTAACCAAGTTATACAACTATATGTTCGACTGCGTTCCAGAAAGCAATTCACCCAAATGCGTTTCCGCAAATTTGACAGATTGACAGAAGCATCCAGTAATACGCGTACGCGTTTTATCGACTTCGTCGATTAAATAGCGGTAGTGGAAGAGGCATAGGTTATTTACACTGTTAAACATGATCAGAGGCATAGAATGGTATGAGTGCGTCTCAGCACGTTTCATAATAATAGGTTAAATACGTTTCTATACGTTTAGTTCAAAAATATACTCCAAAACTATGAATGTTCTCTAAACGCGTCCGCGAAGCAAAGCGATAAGTGCATTTAGATGCGTTTCCATCAGGGCTCCTAATGGAATGGGATAATCCCATCCCATCCCATCCCATCCCATGGGACAATTGTTTTCTTGGGATATCCCATGGGATAGGATGGGATGAGTTCCTAACCCCATGGGAAATGTGATTATTTCTTTAAAGAAAAATGATTATTCATTTATGTCACACTTGGCAATAGGTGAAAAGTGTGAATATTATCATTCTTTTTCTGTACTGGTCATTAACCCAACT